ATCCCCTGCTGATTTTGTATGTTTGCCCACTGACAAAGAAATGATCAATCTATAATTTTAATGGTAGGTTTATTTGAACAGTGAGAGACAGAATAACAAAAAATCCAGAAAAACGCATGTCAAAAATGTTATAAATTGATTTGCATTTTAATGAGGGGAATAAGTATTTGACCCCTCTGCAAAACATGACTTAGTACTTGGTGGCAACACCCTGGTTGGCAATCACAGAGCTCAGACGTTTCTTGTAGTTGGCCACCAGGTTTGCACACATCTCAGGCAGGATTTTGTCCCACTCCTCTTTGCAGATCTTCTCCAAGTCATTAAGGTTTCGAGGCTGACGTTTGGCAACTCGGACCTTCAGCTCCCTCCACAGATTTTCTATGGGATTAAGGTCTGGAGACTGGCTAGGCCACTCCAGGACCTTAATGTGCTTCTTCTTGAGCCACTCCTTTGTTGCCTTGGCCATGTGTTTTGGGTCATTGTCATGATGGAATACCCATCCACGACCCATTTTCAATGCCCTGGCTGAGGGAAGGAGGTTCTCACCCAAGATTTGACGGTACATGGCCCCGTCCATCGTCCCTTTGATGCGGTGAAGTTGTCCTGTCCCCTTAGCAGAAAACACCCCCAAAGCATGTTTCCACCTCCATGTTTGACGGTGGGGATGGTGTTCTTGAGGTCATAGGCAGCATTCCTCCTCCTCTAAACACGGCGAGTTGAGTTGATGCCATAGAGCTCCATTTTGGTCTCATCTGACCACAACACTTTCACCCAGTTGTCCTCTGAATCATTCAGATGTTCATTGGCAAACTTCAGACGGGCATGTAAATGCGTTTTCTTGAGCAAGGGGACCTTGCGGGCGCTGCAGGATTTCAGTCCTTCACGGCGTAGTGTGTTACCAATTGTTTTCTTGGTGACTATGGTCCCAGCTGCCTTGAGATCATTGACAAGATCCTCTCGTGTAGTTCTGGGTTGATTCCGCACCGTTCTCATGATCATTGCAACTCCACGAGGTGAGATCTTGCATGGAGCCCCAGGCCGAGGGAGATTTACAGTTCTTTTGTGTTTCTTCCATTTGCGAATAATCGCACCAACTGTTGTCACCTTCTCACCAAGCTGCTTGGCAATGGTCTTGTAGCCCATTCCAGCCTTGTGTAGGTCTACAATCTTGTCCCTGACATCCTTGGAGAGCTCTTTGGTCTTGGCCATGGTGGAGAGTTTGGAATCTGATTGATTGATCGCTTCTGTGGACAGGTGTCTTTTATACAGGTAACAAGAGTGTGCTCCTAATCTCAGCTCGTTACCTGTATAAAAGACACCTGGGAGCCAGAAATCTTTCCGATTGAGAGGGGGTCAAATACTTATTTCCCTCATTAAAATGCAAATCAATTTATAACATTTTTGACATGCGTTTTTCTGGATTTTGTTGTTATTCTGTCTCTCACTGTTCAAATAAATCTACCATTAAAATTATAGAATGATCATTTCTTTGTCAGTGGGCAAAAGTACAAAATCAGCAGGGGATCAAATACTTTTTTCCCTCACTGTATTTTCACCACAAGTATTGTGGTTAATGCAGTAAACATGATTACTTGAAAAAAGGTTTAAGTTTGGTGTTTTAACATCTTGACACCTGTTTTGTTGCCAGAAAGGGTAAAATCTATTCTTATATTTTGATACTGGCAAGGGAGTGTAATTGTATATTTATGAGTGTACAATGCCTTTAACATCCATTATTTATCCAGAAATCTACACTCGGGTGTATTTTATGATTATAATGTGTGTAGTGAGCCCCAAGCTATAAAATACTGTTTTAGCAAATAGTGCCATAGTTCAAGTCATGTTTATTCATGTGATCGTAAGTAGTACTCAATATTAAACAATTATAAAGGTTTAAAGTTAGCTATGCCTAAGTAATCTTTTAAAAATGTAGCCAAGAAAAAATATTAAAATGTGTCCCCGAAGCAGAGCTGCATAGCGTCTGCTATTGAGTTGTGATGACAAAAAGACGTTTACTACATTAGGAACACGCATGGATTACATGCTCTTGAGATTACATTCAGACATAAAACGTCTCACTATACCATCACGTGAAATGTGTGGTAATTCTACAGACAGTCAAACATTGTCCTGGTCCAATACGACATTCGCAAAAAAGCCAGAGGGCCCGATTCACAAGTCTATTTTCACCGTTATTCCAGCAGCTTCTCAATGGCACCATCACCACATGAAACAGCCATTGTCTCTTGAACTTCTCTCGCACCGTACGTAGCCAACCGTGCTCGTCAGAGATGCAACTCGTGCCACAAATAACAAAAACCCAACACATTCCTCAATAACGCTGTCGCCTTAAGTGAAAACAATATATATGTGCAACAGGAGACTTGCATTAACATTATTTAGATAAGTTTAGTGCTAGAAATGTCCAAATGATGAACCACTTTGTTGAGTGATCATTTGTGGCTAGGTTGCTTCTGAAAAATAAATTAATACCTCAGTGAGCTTTGCCTGGCAAGATGGGTATGGTTTAATTAGTGTTTGAATTATTTATTTACCTTTCTTGTACTTTGCACTATCATGTTTTTGTATTTTTTGTTCTTGTAATGATCTTACCCGCCCCTACCGGATATAGCTCATCGGATTCCTCCAGAATAAATATTCTGATTCTGACTTTGTGGGCAATGGCTTTTCTTCTCGGCGCACCAAAGTGCCTGTGTCCCGCTTCCAATGGAGTACGGAGCACCAAATCGTTCGTTTAAATGGCTCGGAGCTCAAGGTGAGCAGGCTTGGGTGAAGTCAGAGAACCACAGGGTCACGGCGAGCGCTCTCGAGTGCCGTGGCTCGTGTGGTGAGCACCGTGGGTCGTGTGGTGAGTGCTGTGGCTCGTGTGGTGAGCACCGTGGCTCGTGTGGTGAGTGCCGTGGCTCGTGTGGTGAGTGCCGTGGCTCGTGTGGTGAGTGCCGTGGCTCGTGTGGCGGGCCATTCTGAAACTTTGTTGCGGTATTTCCACAGCACGATTTTTTAAAGATTTTTTCGTGGTACTTTAATCTTTTTAGAGAGCTGCAAAATGGGAGCCATGCACGCACACAACCAGGGTGACTGATGATGAAAACAAATAAGATGTGAATAAAATAAGCAATGCTTTTGGTGATTATGTTATGGCAATGACATCAAACAGCTCTGTTCTGCCTTTCGAATTCGAGGTGAAAGAATGTGGAACCACGTGAACTTTCTTGCTAATCTGAAACAGACCCTGCAACACTCTTCATGTGAAGTGCTCTTCCCAATAACATCTGGCAATTCAGCAGCGTTTGCTTCACAGTCCTGACTGCTGATGAGACCAGGTCGAAACCAGCCCCAGAGTTTGCTTCCTTAAACACATTCTGCTTGACAATACTGCTATGGAAAGTCACAAGGTTGATGGACTAAAACATTACACTTCTATTTGTATCCTTCTCCCCACTGGCGGTGGCACGTGCCCCCCCCCCCAATGATCAGATAGAAATCCCTAATTTCGATCGGATCATTGGGGGTTATTAGTAATAAATCTGCATTTCGCGACCCCCACTGCCACTGTGTAGCATATTATTACGTACCAGGGACTCAATGAGATGATAGGACAATAGTCTGAGTCCATAATTGGCAATAAGTAACGGCAAAGCGGTTATAAGCGACTCACAGAATTGTGCGCAGTTGCGTACAGAGTCCACGACTTCCCTGAAGGCATTCACCTTCAGCGAGCACGATGCCGATCACACAACGCGGTTCGAATTCGACCCTCGATCGATGGCTGCGCCATCGCCGCACATGCGCCGAATAAAAAGCAAGGGACAAGTCCTTGCTTACTAACAACTCCTATCATTTTTCATCGCTGGAGGGGATGCCCCCCCTCTACCTGAAAATCCTGGCTCCGCCATTCCTCTCCCGCACCTCCAATTAACAGTTAGCAATGAATGGTGCGAAATAAGTTCAACATACATACATACATACAAGACACAGAACATATCTCTGATTATGTATTCTGTAAGCTGGATTTAAGGTGACCGGATGTGTAGTCACGCCACGTTTGTTGTTCATCTAAAGCACCCAGGATGCCACGTGATGGGTTGGCCACGTGAGTGGAATGTAAAGTTTTCTTAAACGGTTAAATCTCGGATTTACAGTGCAGCACCTGCTTACTGACCAAGTGCGTCACGCCAAGTGGCTTAAAGTCAATCATTCCCTTTAGCTGCTCTAAACTACCAAGCCAAGGGTCAGGCCTCTCTGCCACTCGAGTAAAGGAACTTGGAAGCTGCTGAACATATACAAAATATGCAAGCGGAACCCCATTCAGTCTCCACATATGAAGAAAAATATTTTTGCCCATTTTTCCATCAGCTTTTTTGGGTTGAAGGGGCGGTAGTTGAGATGGGAATGCTCTTGCTAATAACATGTGGTAAACCTAGCAGTATTTTCTTTTAATAAGCCTGACTGATGATGAGATCCAGGTCAAAACCGGTCAACAGTTTGCTTGCTTTAAACATTTCTGCTGGATATTGGTCTGGAGAGCTAATAGGCTGATGGACTAATTGTTGTATTTATTATAATTATTATTACATGCAAAGAGAAAGTATGTCTCTATATATTGTGAATACTCTCACCAAAAATGCTCCACAACAACGGATGAGTTTATAAAGAACAGGGCACCTTCAATAGACTGTAGAACACATTCACTTGCCAAGTGAAGCCTGACAGTAACCAATGTCAATGAACACTTTAAACTTCGCATGATAATGTGCACCTTCAATTCATTCTGCATTGCCTCCTTCACCAAACGAGTGTACTTTTCACCGCAAGGTGTACTTCACATGCAAACCGTTTAGTATATTTTTTTTTGCGAAAAGATACGTAGAGTACTGTACACACACACTCGCTGCAAACCCTCCTGCAGAACTTGCCATCGCACCACACCGAGCAGAGGGAGGGTCACCCCAGACACACTGGGTGCACGTCAAGGATACATTCCCAGTATGACGGCTTCCAGACACTTGATGGGAAGCGATTCTTGCACCATCTCACGAGCGGCATCCATAAGCCTGTTGGGGGCCAGACGTTCATCAACCCACTGTGTCAAACGATTGGAGAGTTTGCATCGATACAGCTCCGAGTGAAAACAGACACGAGATAGATTGTAAAGGCTGGGGTTTTTTTTTTGCTCCATGCAATGAGCAAATTCAGCGTTATGTGGCCCCTAAATTCTTATTACGACACTTTTTACCCCGCAAAGCCTAACGACTCTGTTTCAGGAGGATCCTGCCACAATTTTGCAGAAGGGGACAATAGCTGTTATGTTTATTCCAATTGAGTAGTTTATTGGGGTAATTTTGGTATTGTTTTTGGTAAATTTGTACCACGACATCGGCACACAATGGCCTCCTCTTGCGAATGGTGTCATGGAATCTTTAACGTCCGCCATGAAGCAAACGCCGCATATGTGTATGGTTGAACCACAGTATGAGTCAAGGCGGCCGCTAGATTCGAACCGCGAACCTCTGCAACAAGCCGCGAATGTGACACTAATAATTAAGCTCTCATCAACGTGACACAGGGTCTCATAAGTGGGTTTCCTCCGATATATGCCATGTGTTCCTTTCTGCACACTGCTCAAGTTTGGAATTCCCTCCCATCATCTTTCCTCCAAGTTCTGTAAACCTTGCTCAACTCAAGAAATGCATTAACTCATGTATATCACGTCATTAACTCATGTATATTACGTGACTGACTCATGTATTACGCCATTAACTCATGTATATTACGTCATTATCTCATGTATATTACGTCATTAACTCATGTATATTACGTCATTAACTTATGAATATTACGTCATTAATTCATGTATATCACGTCATCAACTCATGTATATTACGTCATTAACTTATGAATATTACGTCATTAACTCATGTATATTATGTCATTAACTCATGTATATTACGTCATTAACTCATGTATATTACGTCATTATCTCATTTATATTACGTCATTAACTCATGTCTATCACGTCATTAACTCATGTATATTACGTCATTAACTCATGAACATTACGTCATTAACTCATATATATTACGTCATTACCTCATGTATATTACGTCATTAACTCATGTATATTACGTCATTAACTCATGTAAATTACACCTTCAGGAGTGGTTTGTTGTTGGCTCCCTTGGTATTTGGGGCCTCTGGGCATTTGCTCAGTAATCATAATTGAATATTGTTTATATATACATGTATTTACACTGAACTGCTATAATGTATTGCTGATTATTTAAACTGTGAATCACAAGATAACATTCCTGCTATGCATATACACAAACAAGGCAAGTGCATGCCATGACAGTGTGGGGTATTAAACTTCTGCGTGTGCTATATTCCATGATGACATAAATAAGCACGTGTGAAACGGTTGTACAAGGCGTGCATCCACATTAGTTTCCATGTGGAAAAATGTACAACCGTTATATGACTGGACTGAGAGTCTGAAGCCCGCGGCTATGCCTCATAACCACGACTGTTCAGACAAAGGCATCTTATCACTCAAGTTGTTGTGCGTCAGAAATGAGAATTCCTGCATGTGGCTCATATTGGTGATGTGAGTCACTGCAAATATCGAGGTTCTCAGAGGGCAAGGCACCGCATCGAGCCACATCCAAGGCGAGTAATGTGAAAGGCGTTAATATACCAGGGCTATTGTACGTGCCGTCTAAAACATGTGTCGTTCGCAACCTGAACATGACACTCCTGAATAAATAACACGTTTAATAAATACGTCCTTGTATTCTACACAAGCGTATTCACCCTCTATAAACTTTACAGATGCCATTGTGTAGGTAGAATTTCCGGGTTTTATAATCGTGCATATTATCATCATCATCAGGCATGTTCGATCCGCTCCTGAAAGCCGACCCAAGTTGTCACCATCTGTCATAGTCTCGTGGCTATGATTAATTATGACTACAACGCCTGCCTACCCAGAAAAATCTCACCGAATCACACGTGAACATTTTTTTCTGAAGGGTCCTGCCAAGTTTATTTTTAAAGTATCGGGCGAGCATTACTCCATGTATATATATTCCCTTTGAGTAATTTGGTGCAACAATCCATCAGGCTTCTGCACGCAATGCGATGTCACCGTCCCATCTCTCATCTTCTCGGCCGTGTTCCCTACGATGGCTGCTGCCACTCCATCGTTCGTCTCGGCCCATCGGCCAATCATCCCTTCTCCTCATGTTGTGGCCTGCCTGAGCCCGCTTGCTTTTCAGGGTCAAGACGACGTCTCTACATTGTGTTCTTACTGTCTCACTCTGAGAAACCTGCGACTCTCAGCACCTCTTTGCGCACTTTGCAGCTATTGCTCCATTTTCTTTGTCACTGAACCACGTTTACGATCCATTTATCTCAGCAGGTTTTACGCGGAATGATTCGGAATTATCTTCCTTAGGTACAATGCTACGTTGCTGCTTATCATCGCAAAGTGCTCAAACTGGCTCTCGCTCATCATTTTATTTCATCACATTTATCCTGCTTGCCCAAGGCGTACCAAACTATGTGTTACAGTCACATCCCTTCCCAAATCTTAATTTGTTTAGAACATTTTTGAAATTATACAAATCATTCACAGAGATGGAGATTGCAAGAAGAAAGTAGCAAAATACATTCTCAGAAGAGGAGTCACGCAAGGAGATACGCTCTTGCCAAACTTATTCACAGCGATATTAGATGTTTTCTGAAAATTGGATTGGAGAAAAGAAAGAGTATATATATTAATGGTGAAGATGTTAAACTGTATCATACTTGATGGTGACATTGTCAGTGTAACAACCAATGGAAATTCATGCCAGCAAATGATTGATAAACTTTGCAAAGGCTTCAAAGTGTTCCTCAATATGAATAGCACGCACAGTACCGTATATATACAGGACAGGTTATATTTTAACAATAGTTTAGTGCATTTTAATTAAGGAGTGTTATTTTGTATGGTACATAAAAACATTTTTTATCCAAAACGAGACAGAGTGAACATGGTTACTTACCCAACCAACGGCCTGCTTTTGCGAATCTCAAAGAACTGAGTCCCAGTGTGATTATATCTGTGTCAAGAAGACGCTTAGGAAGATAACAAGCAGCCAACAGCGCTGCGGACAGGCGAAAGCACGTTATAAAATATGCACACGACTTGACAGCCAAAAACTCCAGGTTAATAAAATATATTTCATACTCTTCTATATTGGCACCGATATCATTAGAAACATTGCCGATGTTGTAAGCGTATCATACACCGATGTGTACTTTATGTGTAAAGAGCTTCGCATAGAAATACTGTGCCATGAAGCTTATTAATATGTACTAACGAGCAAAAACAAATTTTAGATATGAATTTCTACATCATAATTACACTTGTGGTTTAAAGTTGCATGGAGCTGAATGCATACACCATCTAAGGAGTCTAATTTAAAAAAATATCCACATTTCATAGAGATTGATCCAAAATGAAAACACAACTCTCGTGGAAATGCTCTGCTCTGTCGACCCGCCGAGAGATAGGGCACAAGTGGCCCCATTCCCATGGTCCCTTAGAGGGGCCGGAAGTCTGTGGCAGACGGCCACAATTTTCACCACAGAGCACATGACGCACATAAGCCTGCACTGTCATGCAAATCCCCAATGCCGCACAATGTCCCACTGTTGTGTGGACACAACGAACAGACTGTGCCTCGCGGATGTCCGTGAATGGATCCAATACATCGCGACGTATGCACTCTAAAGGTGTCATCCGCGATGAAAAGTAATTAGATGGTTGGGGGCGGAGTGGTGGTGCAGCGAACGCGGGTACGCGAGTTTAATTCCCAGCCACGGCTAACATCAGTGGCGAGTGAAGTCTTAAATGGTCACGGCACCGCTCCGCTCCCCCACTCAACACCCTCTACAAAGCCGCACCGACCAACACTGGGGAAGTATGGCCAAACAATCCCCATAACTGACACGGTGTGGGGGGCCATTCATCCGGCAGGGGATTGACAAAAGAATGAACGTGATATGTATTTTTCAACAAGACAGTAGTTTGAAAGGCGAGGGTGAATGTTCGGGTTGTGTGGTACATGCAGCGTATGCGTCTGGAGTATTTGGCTGCTGCTATAAATTGACACTCGACAAGCCACTTCATCGACATGTCGTTTGTGGCCAGCTCGCGTCTGGAAAAGAGCTCGACAGCTCAGTTGGTGTTACCTGGTGAAATAAAACATTGGTTCGTTTTTTATTCATAAGGATATGAATTCCTGCAGTCACGAAAGTTTTAAGTCTGGTTAGTTTTAGTTTTTTAAAACTCTCAAGTAGTCCCCAACAGACGTTGGTGAACACGTGGGGCTCAAATCTCGGTGCGACATGTCGCCAACACCGTGGCAGACACGTGGAGGTTTGAACGGATGAGACTCGTCCAGTAGAATAAAAATCAAATTGACCGAGTTCAAACTGACGACTAATTATGATTCACGAATACATGAACTTCTTTCCACCGTACGGTGCACGCATAAGATGGGTTGACGATTTCCGTTTCACCAATCACAATTTTATGATGTAGCGTGCAACTGCGGAACTATCACTTTCATCTTTTTGTATTTCCAGCGATAGCAGATGACCAAATTAAGAGTTGTTATCGAATTGAGGTACATTCACAACTGATTATAGCGAATTCGATTCCAATGAGAAAGTGCATTTTTTTAAAGGAGCCCACAGAATGGATTGAGAAAGATACACTGGCACAGAACATGCCCATAAGGTCACGTTGCAATTGCAACGTCTAACACTGCACACTGCTCTATATAAGGGCATTTGAAGCTGCAGTCCCCTCTAGGGGCTAGCTTACTTAAGGTCTACTCAAGCAGTCAACACTTTCACAGCGGTCAACTGTTTACGATCATTCTTGAATGGGCCGGTCTCTCCGATGCGTAACGCACGGAGCTGTGCACGCACGTTACATGCGCGGATCATCGTGACGTCGAGCACATTCATTTAGTTCACGACAGCAAATAAAAGATTATTCCACGTTCAACTTGAGAGCTCAGGCAAGGGACCTCTGGTACATATTGGATCGATTCTCTTTTCTCCGAGGGCAGAATAATTTGAAACTCCATGGCTGTATTTTTGTTCCATGAGAGCACTCAGATTCAATCGTCTGGCTCCTTTCACGGTAACATGACACGTCTGCGAAAACGGCTCTGTCAGCAAAAACATTAACTTTGTAACCAAATTGAGTTGACAATGGAAAGAATGGCCGAATTAACGCTTGGCAAAGCGTCTACACGGCGTAGCACAGTGCAGTCCTTGTAACTCACATGCTGAACTGTTTCCTCGGCATACTGGCAGCAACCGTCGGATGTCAGGCTGCGAGCAACTTTCAGCCACATCCACTTATTTTAACTTGACTATACTCATCGTGTTCTATGCAAAGACTGTTCCTGCCATAGAAATGCGGAGTTGGCAGCACTGATTCAAGGCCACCGACAAATTAGCGGTGCAAAACATGACGGCTGAATAACCACATCGTGTGCAGTTGGAGCGAGCAGACAATTTTTGTCAGGCCGGTTTTAAGATTTGTGTTATTTCACCAAGTCCATTTTCGTACTGCTCTAAGCAGTTCACACAAAACCCATGACAGTGTCTCATCCTTTGACAGTGACATGGAAAGGGTTTCACGGTCTTAAACATTGAAAACAGAATCTGCAAACAATTCGATATACACTCACCATGAGAGTGTCTGCAAATTGCAGTGTACCCCTCAGTGGTGATTTTAAAGTTTCGTTTCGCAATTTTATCTACGCCCAAATAACCATGAATATGCCCTATCCAACGTTGTATTGTACTTCAACGCTCCAACAACTCTGCTCCCCACCTTCACGAACCGGCACTGAGCAGCGTGGTGGAATATGGTCAAATAGTGCCTCTGACCTGCATGCCTTGGGGAGGCACTCATCCAGCAGTGAATCGGTAAAAGGGACTGTACATGTATGTATACATCATAACTTTGGAAAAAGTTACTATAAATGTCTCTACTCTGCAAACAAATTTGTGATGCGCAATACGTTTTTGCTATTTGTTTATTCAGTGTGAAAGTGGCCATATACAAAAGCATTTTTCTTATGCCCATTCATTATATGCGGTCAAGCGAGCTAGTCAAAATTTTTAAGGATAAGATAGGGCATCTAACAGGATACACCTTTCTCATTTAAACTTTATTGAAAGCATTATCATTATGAAAATAAATAAGAACAATAAGTTACTTTCAAAATCAGTTTGTGAGCAGGTGATATGTGGATTATTAACCACATCGCAAGGATCGTGAAAGGGGGCAACAACATCCAGCAGTGGATTGATCATGGCTGATGAAGATTGAACGAGTAGTTTCATGTTAGAGGTCATCGCATTATCTTGAACAGTAAAGTATGAGGTGTGTGTACATTAAATTAAACGTTCCATTAGCAAAACTCTCCTACGTGTAAGGATAACAAGAAAGAATACAAAGTAATCGGTCCGCGAATTGTCTAAGGATACTGGAGTTCTCGCATGTAGATCTGCACAGCCAGCAGGCGCTCAGGGATCGGCATAGACGGTCGAAATGTCGGCACAGCTGGAAATGGAGGCTGGAAACAAAGAGGGGAGAGAGGGGGGAAAACAAAAACGGGTCAACACACTCAGACGCACTCTAACGGCCGGAATTCACGAGCCTCCCAAGGGCACAGAAGCAGTTAAAAACAAGCAAGCAGGCTTCACTTCATAAGACTCGTCACCAAGTCCTTGAATAAGGCAAACTCCAAAATGGCCCAGGTCAGCTCTGGAGGGCAGAGTGAGGGTGATAGAGTAACAACACCCTTTCTCAGGAGACACCCAAACATCCACCACGACCACGACGGATATTCCAGCCACTCAAACATCACGAAGGGGTCAAGGATGGAAACTGTGTGGTGCGGTGAGATCTTTATTAGTGTGTTTATCTCAAGTTGTGTTACGGCTTGCACTAATATTGTAATATAACGTCCCTGCCTTGTTTCATACCCAATGTGTAATATCATTTCAAATAAGAGAAAAACAATCATAACTGTGGTCTGTGTCTCCACATGTAAACCAGGTACTTTATTTGAACAGCCTATTGATTTTTTCAGACCAATTTTTTCTATCAGCATTTATTTAAGCAAAGCAAACTCTGGACTAGTCTAGACCTTCTGGATCTCATCAGTAGAGTCAGTCTTGTGAAACAAAGACGGCAGAGTTACATTACTTAAAAGGTTCTTCGGTTTATAAACCAATTAAAAACAACTAAAAAGAATCACAATCTATAAACCCATGAACTGTATTTGCCATGAAACTATTCAAAATACGTCATAATATTATTTGTTTATTTCGGTTAAGTCACGTAGATAGGAAAAAAAAGATAAATAAAAGATATGTCATCATATATGTCCAAATACCAACTATGTGGGGAAACGTTGGCATGGTACAGTGGTCATGCTCACTGGACCTGCAATCCAGAGGTCACCGGTTCAATGTAAACAGTGGGAAGTTTTCTTAAATTCCCCCTTGCCTCGTCCACCTACGACCGAGCAGCAGTGCGCATGATCAAGAAATTCCAGGTCTGCATCTTTACCTTTCGCCTTTCCCAACGAGACATATGGGATTCGTTTGACAATAACCACATCATTATAAAAGCAGGATTTGGCCAATCAATTCCCACAGACACATAAGCACATGCATATGAACTACTTTCCGGACCAAAAAAATAAATCGATATTACACTCAAGTGCACTTGAAAAGTGTGTTCCTCAATCGTAATTAATTATCAACAATGACCTTTAAGAAGCTCATGGGGAATAAAACGGACTTTTTTTTAAACAAAAAATATGTTGGGAGGCTAAGTGTAGGCACTCCCATCTCTTCCAAGATGCCTGTTCAACATGGAAGAGTAGGCCAAATACCTCTAGAAGGGCTCTCATGCTCCAGATCTGATAACGGCCCTTCTGCCAGCAGTGGCGTGAGCAATCAAAATATTTATACTGGAGGAATCCGATGAGCTATAAAGCTCTTTTTCGGAGGTGTCCAGTAGTTTTTCACAGATGCCCAGAGCAAGCAATTGCAGGGCCGACACCGTTTTCCCTTTTATAGGTAGAGGAACGTTTTCTGCTCCTATGGCTCCCTCGTGTTTGTCACAAACACAGGGAGCGGTGCTTTTAAAGCAGAGACTTCATATAAGGTGGCTGTGAAAAAAGTATCACCCAACTGCAACCGATTGCTTTTAATTATCTGTCAAAACAAACCCTGGCCTGAACTTGCTCCCGAAATGGTGTGTTTTGTTAAGTTTGTTGAGTGGTGTGTTTTGTTAAGTTCAAAGCGAGTCATAGAATGAGTAATTTTCTTCTTAAAAGTTTTTTAAGATCCTGCCTAGATAAGTGTTGCCGCTATAAATGAATACAGAATTTTACTAGCATATTTCACCCATGATCAAATCACCCGGAATCTAGGTGCTAGGTGGATTATTACATGACAGGATCATGAGAGATAGTTACATCTTGGGGAGGCCTTCATCCAGCAGTGGATTGACCATCGCTGATGATGATACCGATGACATTAGACACACAATGTCGAGCAGTCTGGTATTAAAGACTGCTCACATTGTGCTCACGAGATAGAGAATATAAACAGTGGTAATGTTCTGTGTAGGACAACACATTCAATCTGAGGCACAACTGAAGATGCTATAATCACAGGATACGAGTTCGGTACAGAATCGTAAATTCATCACCATAACTTAGTTAGAGAAGAATTCATGGGATCTAATTACAGCAATGCAATGACAAAAAAAATAATCTAACAAAAGCTGTTAAATCTTGATTTGAAGCTTTCGTGACTGCAGGAATCCATACCCTTTGGTTCTCTTGGTAAAGTCATCACGTGGGTAGAAATAAAACAATAGGTCACGGCGTTTGGATCGCAATAACAAGCGACCGTCTTCTACATACGTGACTTTCCCGAGAGAACCAAAGAGTAAAAGCTGTGAAGTGCACGTGGAGAGACGCATGCTTGGAATTCCACCGAATGACGGGAAGAGGAACACACGGATCTGGGAACGAACACAGGAGACATCACGTGTACTGTGAACATGGTTTTGGGCAGGACGAAAACAATGCCTAGAAATGACGGCCAATGGACAAAACTGGAGGTGGAATGAAAGCCAGAGGACAGAATGTACACCCATGGGGACGGTGCACTCACACACGCAGGGTACAGATGGATTATGGCATCGCAGCAGGCCTTCATCCAGCAGTGGATAAAGGATGGTTGATGGCTTTACCCTTTCGGGCGATTATACAGCTGTCAAGATGTTCAAACACCGAATCGACACCTATTACAAGGCATCAAGTCTGCATTTACCACATGTATGTGTGGTCATACGTGCAAACAATGCATACATTATAAAACAAACATAAATATGAGTGGTTAATGCAGACATAATGCCTTGTAATGTATGTCTGTTTGGTATTTCTGTGCATCATCTTGATACTGGCTAAAAGGGTTCCATAGAACGGTTGATGATGATTAAATACTCTAAATTCGTATTAAGTCACAGCATGTAACCGGTATAAGCGATGCACGCAACATTAATCAAGACCTGCCAAACGGGTGGGCCTCCAGCTCCAAGAGCTCTTCTCCTGCCTCCCAAACGTGTCCCACTCCACTTGAATGTAACACTTTGTAGCGAACACGATTTGGTCAACCGAAGGAAATTGCGAGGAAACAGCATTACGTTTGATCCAGCGTCTACTGCATAAATCACATATATTTGAAATCATAGGGACAGTTTATAATTATCACTTGGATAATTATAAATGTCTTTAAACATATCACAGTGACTTTACCGAAAAAAAACAAGGATATGAATTCCTGCAGTCACGAAAGCTTTAAGTCAAGATTTAATGTCGGTATGCATACAGTACGTCATGCACTCACAGTTCGAGAATATCTACACAGAATTGAGTAAACAGGTGTTCCTCGATTTACAAACAGGGGATGTGTTTTTCAAACAAAACGCCTAAAGTGAAATTTTGTAAATCGGCATGGATTTCTACTGGCTTTTCCCATTTAACACAATAAATGTGAGATTTCTTTCAGACAGTCATTCCAACTTTACTCCTAACCTAAAATTATCCACCGACACAATCACTTTTCACGAAACTAAAATAAAGAGGATAAATATGAAAAGTTCTCAATACAAATTAATTAAAAACTTCAATAATTAACCTTTTCAGAGAACTCACCAACAAATCTGCTGCATGTTGGAATGAATGGCAAGGTTATGTGTAGGCGTCGCTGTTGCATTGTGGGACACGGTGACGCTATAGCGGATGGATGACGACGCAGCCTCACGGATGGTGCTTCTTGTTTGATCTTTGCCGCTTGAAATTTCGATAACACGGAAATTCGATTTCGTTGATCGAAAAGTGCCCATAATTTGTGAATTGCATTGACGCGACATTTCGACAACGTTTGCAAATCGAGACATACCTGTGCATCTCATTGCATTTAGTACAGATATATTGTTTTACTGCTTTGCTGCTTGGCATCTATCAACGAGAGTTGTCAGCTATAGTTTGTGTTTTTTAATTACCCGTGTAAGACAACATGGACTCTACCATATCTACAGTGGGAAGCAACACATCACGACCAAGTTAGTTGCTTTGTCAGCATGTGAATTGCCATGCCGTTTGGCAGAATTCCACAACACATATTTACACCTGCCGTTTCAAGCGGATGGCTGGTCTGCTGGAAACTCGATACCAACACACACAAGAGCCCAGCAATTCCGACATTACGTCAGCCTTATGGCATACTGTTGCACACAAACCCAGGAGAGTGGAACCCATTTCAATGGATAGGGGAGCCGTGATGCTGAGAAGGCCATGTGTTTAGGCAGCCGCACACAGCGAACAAAGCCAACGAGAAAAAGCCTTCACTGCAATTGCTATTGACCAATGAAAACATACATGTTGGTCTAAAATATCTATCCGGATGTTTATACACATTCGGATCCGTTAACGATAACAAGTACTTACAATTATTCTACAGCCCCTTCTTCGACCCACTGGTGAATGCCTGTCCACGCCCTGTGGATTGTGGTGGTTATTTGAGCATACTTCACCACGCTGGCGAGTGAGGGTCGGTGAAGAAATAATTATACGAAAATTTCAACAACAAAAAATTGTGCCAAGAACGTCCATTTGTTACTTGGACAATTGAAAGACCATACCAAGATTTACAGCACATCAGATTAATCCTCTGACACCTTCTAAACCGCATACATACTAAATCTTGACTTAAAGCGTTCGTAACTGCAGGAATTCATATTATTTGGGTCTTTCGGTACAGTCACATAGATAGGTTAAAAAATAATAACAAAAAACTACGACGTTTCGATCGCAACACAAGCGGTCGTCATCAGGAAAGGGGAGTTAACTTCTAAAGACAAGTGCTTATAAAGGTTTGAAATGGGCATAGCCCAAATGTCAGCAGCCAATGCAAGTGTGAGCCCACTGCATTAAAACAATTAGCCACGGCCGAGGAATTTGTCTTACCGTGTTTCAGATCTGCCTTATGTTCACGAACCCGGTCCGAGACATGTCGCTTAGTTTCCCCAATGTAACTACTGCCGCAGACAGCTTAGTTTGTAGACGCCGGGGTATTGCATGTCAGGGATCACATCCTTAACAGATGGGATCAGATCACGAATTTTATGTGCTGTGTTAAATCGAACCTGGATCTTGTGTTTATTCCTTCTAAGATGAAGGTACTTTGCAAACCCACTGGCTATCAACAAAGATACAATTTCAACCGAGAAGATGGCTACAAACTGAGCAATCATTGGAAGGACGTTATTAACCAGTTTAAGTCATAACTGTCTGTGATGTTCCCAGCCTACCACCTTCCGATGTTAGTTGTTATTTCCGGCTCTCTGATTTTTTACATTAACAGACTAAATTTCTCACTAACACAGCTATCTCGCACGCCATCCTCGAGGCTGCTGCTTCACGATCTCTCCATTAGCATGCTAACCTCTCACATTAACATAGCCACCTTGGCGCACTCGTCGTGGAGGATGCTCGGCGATCTTGCATTGACATGCTAATTTTTGCCTGGCAGCCCTTTGATTGGTGGAAAGCCCACCACCGCCGCGGTCGCTGCCCACCACTTGCATTGGCTGCTGACATTTGGGCTACGCCCATTTCAAACCTTTATCAGCAGTTGTCTTTCGAAGCTAACCCCACTTTTCCTGATGACGACTGCTTGTGTTGCGATCGAAACGTCGTAGTTTTTTGTTATTTTCTTTGAACCTATCTACGTGACTTTACCGAAAGACCCAAATAATATGCATACATACTGTATATAAATTGGTTTAGTCTTGAATCAGAAATCCCACAAAAATTAGCTATCGGGCCGTAAATAAAAAAAAATCAAGGCTAATACATTCGTATATTTTCCGTGCATTTTTTGCGTGCAGCACATGTAGATGAATCATGAAATAGCACCCGTTGGGATGGAATGTCGACCATTGAAGTGAAAACCATGTTCAACAACAAAGAGAAATGGATGGGAATGCCCCTGTGTTACCATGCACAATTCTGCACGACTAAATTTATACCAGGGCCCAACATTTTGTGAAGCGTTTTTGACAAAAATGTGTTGAGTTTTGGGTTCTGTTCATACAGTAAGCCCTGTTGGTGGGACAGCATGCGCCGAAGCGAAAACTGAAAAGACAATGACCGGATGCAGTGTCTCTGATGTGGCACATAACCTGCCACTGGATTTGTAAACATCGCAGGGGATGCACTGTACCGAATGCCACCTACTTTTTTGGCAACGCATATTTCTGTTTTGCCGGATGCCGCAGGTTCATCGCTAAGATAATTCGCACATTCATATCTGCAGTATTTCACCAAACCCTAGTGCTCAGCAATGCACGCTTATGCACTGATACAGTGGACGTGAAAGAGGGTGATTACAACCAGACACGAAGTGCCTAATGCGACTAAATATAAACCCCATGGCTAATTCGAGCTCTGTTTCTTCCAGCCAAGCTAAATTTAAACTGCACGATATAAGCCACAATCAATGTAAAATGTATCCCATTTAACTGGGGCATGTTATACAGCAACAGGGGCGTGATATAACACAGCACACACCAAGTCAAACATTCTATTATAAAAACAACCCTGAACATAGTCCACTACAATCATCATCAGCCGTGATAAATCCACAACTGGTGGACGAATGCCTCCCCAAGCCATTTCCAGTTCTCATGATCCTGCATCGGTAATACTTCACCACGCTGGTCAATGCGGGCTGCTATGGGTGCCCCTATTAGGCATAGCTCCACAAGTCTACAAGTCTCTCTCTCTCTCTCAAGCTGTTGCACTGCATCAAGGCTGCGCTCCAGCTAGGAGGTAAAAAGAGCCACTCGCACGGATACCGCCACACAGGTGAGCTGCCCACACTGCACCATCACACAGGTGAGCTGTGCACACTGCACCATCACACAGGTGAGCCGTGCACAATGCACCATCACACAGGTGAGCTGTGCACACTACACCGCCACACAGGTGAGCTGCCCACACTGCACCGCCACACAGGTGAGCCGTGCACACTGCACCATCACACAGGTGAGCTGTGCACACTGCACCATCACACAGGTGAGCCGTGCACACTGCACCATCACACAGGTGAGCTGTGCACACTACACCGCCACACAGGTGAGCTGTGCACACTACACCGCCACACAGGTGAGCTGCCCACACTGCACCGCCACACAGGTGAGCCGTGCACACTGCACCATCACACAGGTGAGCTGCCCACACTGCACCGCCACACAGGTGAGCTGTGCACACTGCACTGCCACACAGGTGAGCTGTGCACACTGCACCGCTACACAGGTGAGCTGTGCACACTGCACCATCACACAGGTGAGCTGTGCACACTGCACTGCCACACAGGTGAGCTGTGCACACTGCACCGCTACACAGGTGAGCCGTGCACACTGCACCATCACACAGGTGAGCTGTGCACACTGCACCATCACACAGGTGAGCTGTGCACACTGCACCATCACACAGGTGAGCCGTGCACACTACACCATCACACAGGTGAGCCGTGCACACTGCACCGTTACACAGGTGAGCTGTGCACACTGCACCATCACACAGGTGAGCTGTGCACACTGCACCGCCACACAGGTGAGCTGCCCACACTGCACCGCCACACAGGTGAGCCGTGCACACTGCACCATCACACAGGTGAGCCGTGCACACTGCACCATCACACAGGTGAGCTGTGCACCCTGCACCGCTACACAGGTGAGCTGTGCACACTGCACCATCACACAGGTGAGGCGTGCACACTGCACCGCTACACAGGTGAGCCGTGCACACTGCACCGCTACACAGGTGAGCCGTGCACACTGCACCGCTACACAGGTGAGCCGTGCACACTGCACCGCTACACAGGTGAGCCGTGCACACCGCTAAACAGTCGAGGAACCCCCGACACACAGGTGAGAGCCACGCACACTGCCACATAGGTCAGCCACGGCAACATACACCGCCACACAGGTGAGACATGCGCACTGACACTGCGAGACAGGTGAGACGACACACACTGATACCACCACACAGGTGAGCCACACACACACACTCCACAGGTGCTACAGGTGAGCCACACACACTCACACTCCACAGGCGCTACGTGCGAGCCACAACCACTCACACACTCACACTCCACAGGCGCTACGTGCGAGCCACAACCACTCACACACTCACACTCCACAGGCGCTACAGGTGAGCCACACACACTGATACCACTACACTCACTCACACTCCACAGGCGCTACAGGTGAGCCACACACACTCACACTCACTCACACTCCACAGGCGCTACGTGCGAGCCACAACCACTCACACTCCACAGGCGCTACAGGTGAGCCACACACACTGATACCACTACACTCACTCACTCACACTCCACAGGCGCTACAGGTGAACCACACACACTCACACACACTCACACTCCACAGGCGCTACAGGTGAACCACACACACTCACACTCACTCACACTCCACAGGCGCTACAGGTGAACCACACACACTCACACTCACTCCACAGGCGCTACAGGTGAGCCACACACACTCACTCCACAGGCGCTACAGGTGAACCACACACACTCACACACTCCACAGGTGCTACAGGTGAACCACAACCACTCACACACACTCACACACTCCACAGGCGCTACAGGTGAGCCACACACACTCACACACTCCACAGGTGCTACAGGTGAACCACAACCACTCACACACACTCACACACTCCACAGGCGCTACAGGTGAGCCACACACACTCACACACTCCACAGGCGCTACAGGTGAGCCACACACACTCACACACTCCACAGGCGCTACGTGCGAGCCACAGCCACGCGCACCTGCGCCAGGGCGGCCTCTCCGCGGATGCTGCGCCCGGCGTCTCCGCCCGCGGGGTGCGCGCTTGCCACGTGGCGCCACAGGCGCTCCCACGTGGCCTCGTCCAGCGGGAAGCCGCTGCGGTTCACGTGGAAGCTGCACGGGCCGCTCTCCCCGCTCTCCCCGCTCTCGCCGCTGCCGCCGCCGCCGCTCTCCCCTTGCTGCCGTTGCTGCTGCCCGGGGTGGTGGCGGTGGTGGTGCCCATTGGAGGCGGTGGCGCCGCTCTCTCGACGGCGGCCGCCGCCGCCGCCGTACGCGGAGCGCTCGGCCCCCGAGCCCGAGACGGGCCCCGAGGCCGCCGGGGAGACGGCCACGCTGGCCGCCGAGCGGGCCCGGCGGAGACCCCCGGCCTGGCCGGCCTCGGTGGCCGGGGGCATTGCTTACCCCACGGCGGAGGAGCGGGGAGGAGGTGGAAGGGCGAGGAGGAGGAGGAGGCGGAGGAGGTTATGAAAGCAGCAGCAGCAGCAAGGGCTACAAGGCGGGCGTTGACCCAGCTGGGCGAGGGAGACGTCTCCAGCCCATGGCCACCACGGGGACGCTGCTGCTGCTGCTGCGTCTACTGCTGCTGCTGCTGTTGTTTCCGCTCCTCCTCCTGCTGCTGCTGTTGTTTCCGCTCCTCCTCCTGCTGCTGTTGTTGTTGTTTCCGCTCCTCCTGCTGCTGCTGTTGTTGTTTCCGCTCCTCCTCCTCCTGCTGCTGCTGTTGTTGTTGTTGCTGTCGCCTCTCGATTGCTGCTGCTGCTGCCGCTGTTGCTGCTTCTTCCTTTGTTCGTCTGCTGCTGCTGCTGCTGCTACCGCTGCAGCGGCTCCCGCCGTGAGGGCTGAATCCGCCGGAGGGGAGCAGCAGGAGGAGCAGCAGGAGGAGCAGGAGGGGAGCAGCAGGGGGAGCAGGGGGGGAGCAGCAGGGGGAGCAGCAGGGGGAGGGGAACAGCAGTAGCAGCAGGAGGAGGGGAGCAGCAGTAGCAGCAGGAGGGGAAAAGCAGGAGGGGAGCAGCACGAGCAGCAGGAGGAGCAGCAGCAGGAGGAGAAGCAGAGGCGGCGATGTCGCTGCGACTGCTGCAGTCAAAGAGCGCCGACACCGCCCGCGTGAGCCGGCGGACTGTGCCACAGTCCACACGCGGTAGCCTCTGACAGGCCCAGCTCGTGTGCCGTCACGTGGACGTGTTGTCACGTGGACGTGCCGTCACGTGTACGTGTTGTCACGTGGACGTGTTGTTCGTCGATTCTCGTGTTCTGCCGTGCCCGGCTGCACCTGACGGCGTTCGCTGTGAGATCTCGATGCTGTCAGCGTCGCTCAGCCGTCCTCCATGCACCCTGTGAGATGTTTACGTAGCGCACGCACGGTGCAAGAAAACAACAATGGTGCGTATAACAAGACAACAACAACAATGGTGTGTATAACAAGGCAACAACAGCAACAATGTTGTGTATAACAAGACAACAACCACGCTGCGAGTGGGTGAACCACCACCACCACCCAGCAGCAGCAGCAGGCACCGTTATATGGGATGCGCATGCGCCCTTGCAGCCAATCGGCAGCGAGAACGAGTCTCGTTGTGACGGTAGCGAAGCCACGCCTCTCCATGCGCTAGCCACGCCTCTGTACTCTAACCACGCCTCTTAATGCTCTAGCCACGTCCCTCAATGCTCGAGCCACGCCCCTCCATAGTCTAGCCAGGCCCCTCCATGCTCTAGTCACGCCCCTCCCTACGTTGGTCACGCCCCCTTTCATTTGTCCACTTCCTCATCCAGGTCTGGCAGTGCACCACTGCCACCTGAGCATCACCAAATAATTGTTTTGCCGTACTCGGCATCCACAATAACACAAAATTGGGTTTAGATCGCGTAAATATATAAATGTGTCGTTAACCCACCACCGGACACAGCCAATTCGTAAGGTTTGTCACGTAAACAAAACGTGCCAATTAGTTACGAGTACAGCACTAACCGGAGTGTTGGGAGAGTAAACCCACAGAATTTACGATTTGAGCGACGACGTTTAGCTGACGACGTTTAGCTGGCGATTACAACCAGCTTCATCGGGCGATTTGCCGAAATTAAAAGTAGAGTTCCCTCTCTTGGAGGCTCGTGTCGTGAGCAAGCCATTTCAGGCCTGCGCCTTTACCTATTTTATCTAAATCTTAACTTAAAGGTTACGTGACTGCAGGAATTCATATTATTTGGGTCTTTCGGTAAAGCCACGTTGATAGAAAAAATCATTTTAAAAAAATCTAGTTTGGGAGAAGCTTTACGCTGATGATGCACACACATCGAATAGTCTGGGGGTTGAGGAGCCACAAGATACGTCACGAGAAATGATGATCTGGGGATATGCAATGTAGTTGCTGTTTTTCAACTTGTCCCTCCGAAAAACTAAAAACTTATATTTTTATGAGCAAGTTTGTTGTATGGCTAAGAAGCATCGATCATTATCGATGATGTTACCAGCTACTCTTTTCCACGAGGCCAAACCGATTATTCTTCACGTTATCTACGAGTCATCACTCCTGTTATCCGCCAATTTGTCTCTCCCCCCCCCCCCCCCCATATCCACAACGTTGCAGATAACACGAAGGAGTCACGCTACGTTAATTGTATTTTCTGCAGTGTTCATGGATAATAGGAAGGCCGAAAATAGTGAGGCGTGAGATTAATCCTGTTATCCGCTGCCATGGAGGTTACGGAGAAGATTAGAAGGTTTGCCCCTGGTAACCTCGGAGGCAGTGCAGCAAAATTGATTGTTATACTGTACTTCTATGCCTCTCCTCCCTGCACTGCTACCTCGCCGTGTTGGAGAAACTTGCAAACATTCAAGACCTTAAAAGCTATAATGGGTGGGAACTTTATCTCCTGGTAGGGTCACCCAAGGTTGACAGGTCATTTTGTAGAAGCCAGACAAATAGCGGTCCCCTGGGCAGACTATAGGCGACCTGCTCTAGAAGATCGCTCCAAAAATAAACACTGCAGCCAGCAAGCCCTTCAGCCGCCTCGGCCCTGCCACTGGAGCCTGATTGCTGGCCGCGAGAGAGAGCACGTTTTATGTGTAACTGCCCGTTCACTTTAAATTCATTCCTCCCCCCACCCCCGCAAGCTTTGGCAATCCCACGTGAGTCGCAGTGCTGGGAGACCGGCGAAAGTGACAGAGGCGATGGATAGCACTGAGAGTCAGTCGTGAGCTGGGAGTCAGTCGTGAGCTGCACACAAGCAGATACGGAGTTTGTTTGGTCACCGTGCATTGACCTGGGATGACACCGAAGTTCGGCAGCATCTGGATCAACTCAACTGCCCTATTTAGGGAAAGCGAAGCTGACTTTAATCTGTTTTATCCCGAACAGCCCTGGTCAGCACACCCCAGCGCGAAGGTGTCCCATTTTGTGGTCGAAAACACAATAAGCATTGAGAAGCCTCATGTTTTAATGTTGCGAAATTGAACATCTGTACACTTCTTGAGAATCACTTAAATCAAAACTGATCGTCTTGGCAGACGGATCGCTACGGTTGCTTGAGAGCTCTTCTTTGGTTCTTTCGGTAAAGTCACGTAGAATGAGAATAAAATAATAAAAATAATAAAATAAAATAACACAATAAAATTCTCACGACGTTTCGGCCACAACACAAGTGGCCTTCTTCACCTCGGCCACAACATTTGTATTATTTTATTCTCATTCTACGTGACTTTACCGAAAGAACCAAAGAAGATGAGCTCAGAAGATACCACACCGATATCGCTGCACTGATTGAGACGTGTTTTTAGCGAAAAGTTAAAATGACCGAGGGAAGTGCGAAGGTCAATCGTCTTCTGGAAAGGTCACGTGCAAAATATTCCGAAGTTTCGACTCGCTGTGACTTGTGAGGAGCACAATACGTGGGTTAACATCATCATCTCAAGGGGAAGCCAAAGCTTCGGTGCCTTTCGTACCAACACTGACCAACCCTGTTGAAGTCGAGGAGCAATTCTACTCCAGGCTGCATGATGTAATCCCAGTTGAAGCCACATTAGTCAATGAGGACAATTTCAATACCCGGCCGTGAAGATTGTACGTGACGTGGCATACCCGGCGAGCCGCTGTCATCGGCAAGAAGCACAGCGATGGTGGCTCGCCGTTACTGACATCACGTGTTGAGCAGCAACTATTCACCACTATCACAGTTACTCAAACGTGTTCATACTCCAGCGGTCAGAATAAACCCACACATACCAAGCAGTGGGTAACAATACCACAAGCCAATCAAACACGTGGGTCTGAAACCCCCTGCCAACAACAAACTGGTCGGCTGGGAGGTGTCCAAGTGCACATCTTGAATCTTGTAACAATTAAAATTATCAATATCTGGTGTGTGATTAATGAACAGGTCAATTCGTATAAATTTCGAAGAGAAGCAACGTATAGTTGTGTTAAAGGGATACGTGAGCAATGTTAAAATGTACAATAAATTATGAACGACGATACAGCGATACGAAGGCCAACGGCCAGCTGTTCCAGCAGGGGGCTCCCACAGCACACGTTGTGAGACAGAGAGGGTAGGTCAACTACACTCGTGGTGCCCTTTAATAACGTCTGGTTTAAAATATACACTACCGTGTTAGTTTAGCGTGGTCGACTGCTGGTGAGCACCAGAATATTGAGAATTTTGAAATTAGTCCACAGTTTGTTGGCTTAAGCAAAGTCAATCAATGAAATCTGCTGGTGTGCAGGCTTATGTGGATCGTTACATTACAAAACCGTGAAAGGAGGATCTCATCCAGCAGTCGATTGATCATAGCTGATGGTGATGATATAGTCATTAATCATATAAAGACAAAAGAGATACCAAGCGCAATATTAGCTTAAATGAACCGCACGCCCTTATCCAAAGACTGTATTGGCTCAGATGACGAGCGATGCGATATCACAATGGAGGCGTAGGCGACGCCGTGATCCTGGCTGAGTGGAGCTTCTCTCCGTGGGTCTGCGCCCACAATCACCGCGGCATATGTCACATCGCCATCGTCCACCTGCAAGACGGAGAAACACGTTCGACATTGATACGAACAAATCAACTCCATCCACACCACTGCGCTGTGCTGGAATGTCACCAGATATTATTTATCACCAGATCTTATTTATCACTAGATCGTATTTATTCACGATGTACTTACAAAAAAATCCGCAGACTACCTGCTGCATCTGCTCTCTGTTTCAAAGAACAAATTTGACCTCAGGTCTTCGCTCATTTACCAGCTTCAAATTCCCTATTGCCGTACAAAAACTGGAGGAAGGGCCTTTGCTATTGATGCCCCTAGGGTCTGGAATGCTATTGCCATTAAACTGCAACTTGAATCGCTACCAATGAGATCTTCTCTCAAAACTGCTCTAGAGGAGTTGTACACCCCTAGCTGCCACTGCTATTCAGTGGCCTAAAATAAAATAAAATGTTTCGCTCCGGATGACGCTGCAAAGTATTTTCTGTATTTTAATTTAGTGTGCTGATCTTAAAGGTGCTTTGAAAAATTCGATACTCCGACTGATTCTTCTATTGTTGTGGAGTAACTCATGCAGCAAGCTATGGCTCTAGGATTTGGTGTTACATGTTATTTATGTAGTTTATTGTAAAAAATTCGGTCACAGTCCCTGTGATCACTGTTACGTTGCAATTATGGCTTTATTTTTTGGTGATTTCGAAAACGTTTTTTGGTTTGAACATGTTTGTTTTGTTGTAGTACGGAGTTAGACTGATGGCCTTAATCTAAGTTTTCTTGTGGTTGTTGTTTAACTTGCATCCCACAGGGATTTTTTGCACACAGCGTTGGTGTACGGTGCTCTTTTCAGGAATATTTTGATGTTTTTTTTCTCATGGATTTTCTGTTTGCACAGTCACATAATCACTTTAAGATGTTTTTCTTGTTCTTGTTTTTGTGTTTTTGTGTGTTGTAGTTGCACCCGATTCAAGAGCCGAATGGCTCACAGGGCTATACCAAAATAAATATACTGAAACTGAAACCAGTGGCTCAGGGCGATTGACAACAGCTGCGGACTACCTGAAAGCTCATCTCAGCAGGAAATAACTTTAAAAAAAATTTGCATCCACATTTTTACCTTTCCATCTTTAAAAAATAGATATAAATTAGGGCTCACAATGTACGCCTGTTTGCCCAGCAAGATTATTTGTACGTACATCCTGCAACATCGCCCCCTATTCTCGCAATAGGGGGCGATGTTGCTTTTGCTGTCTGCAATTTTCAAGTAATCTTTCAGCATTGGGTTGTCTGTTGAACTTCTTTCGCACCGTACGTAGCCAACCATGTTTGGCCAATAGCAGTGAAATTGTTGTTTTTTTACTTTGCGAGGAAACCATGCGGAACAGGGATTACGTACAATTTCCTCGCAAATATGCCTGCGTCGAGTATTAAACCTGATGGGTGCTTGCTGTGAGGCATGAATGTTACCACGACATCGCCTCCCCGCTGATGTCTGGCATGTGTGCGTAGACGCTATATCACTCAGATGTATAAATTCATCATATCACATCCGTGGAGACAATTTCACATGATGCCACGGAATAAATGAATGGCAATGTGACCCACAGCTTAAACACCCTCCTCCTTGTTAGGCAACATCAAGGGAAGGGCTCGGACAATGGTTCCCAAGCTCTTTTGGTTCACCGTCTAAAAATTTGTTCATGGCCCAGCGAATGTGGTGCTTTGGGGAGAACTAAAACAACGCAATAATTCCGCAGACCACAGCTCCCAAAGCACTTGCAAACTACCGGGGGTCTGCAGGCCACCGACGGGAAACCACAGTGCACTGAGCAGCGCTTTGTAACCGGCGTGCCGCAATGCACTGTGGTCTGCCGCGGCAAGGCCCCGTGGCATTCCACAAGCTGGGCCAGACAAACTCCCCTCCGTGCCGTTCAGTGGCCGATCCAGTCCCCCCACCCCCCAGAGAATTCCTCTCTTCACCGGTCGGGGGAGCAGTAACAGCGCCAGCCCCCCCACTGCATTGCCACCCACACGCTCGGACATCGCGAGGACCGAGCAAGCTCAAATGTGTGCCGTGAGATAAACAAAGAAGGTTGAGAAATCACTGGCCTCGAGGATTTTGAGAAATAAAACGACTACGTGATGCGTCACGTCTCTTTTTTTGTTACAAACTCTTATTGAGTTTAACACGTAGCAGCAGGCTTCCGCGACCAATATCATCCATAATACAGGGTTTTTTGGGGGGGGGGGGGTTAGATCGCGTAAATAGAATTACTGGCGAAACGTGCTCAGATTACAAATGTCGTGGCTTGGCTCTCCAACACACCGGTGTGCTGTGCTGGTATACTACACTATACACTACACACTAGTGCTGTACTAGTGACGAATGGGCACGTTCTGTTGACGTGACAACCCTTACTAGTTGGCTGTGTTTCGGGTGGTGGCAGGTTTAACAACACATTTATATATTTACGCCAACTAACTCAAAACAACCTCTATTATGGATGTTATAATTTGCTTTGTCAGGCCCGATCCGACGCATTGAGGGCAACGTGGCTATGCTGAAGTTGCGCAATCAGGTGAGAATCGTGGTCATGATTTTGAATTTCTGCAAATGCCATAATGCTATCGCTATTTTCATTGGCAAAACGTTATAATTACGATTGTTGATATAAATGCTTTAAATTAAAGTTACAAATTTGTGCCCGTTAAATACGGTGTCGCGATAGGCACAGTTGTGCACATGCGTGCATTGGTATAGCCTTGCAGACCAGATGCGTGCATCGTCTGTCATACAGTACAGCACTTAGTGATCACAAATACGGCAATTAAACGTGTTATACATATCGTGTTGTTTTACTTTGCAATCGCGGTGATCGTTACTATAATTGTAATAGCCGTGCTTCGCGCTGCGTGCTATCGACTTTTTAATACGTAGATTCTTGTTGTGTGCTTTCATTTATTTTCGGACCAAGAGTTCACATAGGCAAGCCATCATTGTCATCTCTACATGATATTAAAATAGATACCACTTTGGTTGTTGAAGCTGGTCCCTGCGATGGGGAAATGGAGTTTCCACTTGTGAAGATGAGCACCGCACAATGCTCATACGAGCATATTGAACTTTTGTCAATCGACTGCTGGATGTGGGCCTCCCCACGCCGTGCCGGTTGTGGAGGCCGTTTGACCATACTTCACCCCGGCCGGTCAGTGCCGATTGGTAAATGCCAGCAGTATAGACGTATAGTACAATTGGATGTAAACAGAACGTGACCCCACAGCCCTGTGACAACCTGTTTGTGCACGGTGGACACCCATCCAGGCACTTTCCAAGCTCAGATCTGCTTGGCTTTCGAGGTGCAACCAAATCGGGCACATTCCAAGTCCGGGTTATTTGTGCATAGGCGTTGAGGGTTATAGTGATGCTGTTCTTAACAGTTAACATCTCGCGGTGGCTAGATGTTAACTACCTCGCCTTGTCATGGGTTGCCTGTCTATTTGAAGTTTGCATGATCTCCCCGTGGTCGCGTGGATATTTCTCCGAGTCCTCCCGTTTTCCCCTCCACATTTAGAAACATGTGCTTCGAGTTTTTGGCTGCTATAAATTTCCACATGATAAGCCACTTCATTGGGCTATCATTTATGGCCAAGTGACTTCTGAAAGAGAGCTATATAGCTCTAGTGGGCCTTACCTGGTAAAATAAAATCGTTAGTTATCACGGTAAAGAAATAGGTGAAAACAAGTTTTTCAATTCGAACACTTTTATTTGCACTCCAAATAGAAAATACGTAATTCTGACCCCAGAATCAATCAAATTTGATGTGCTGAATTAAAATGTGTGGCTTGCATGAAGAAAATTAAACATGTCGAAAGGAAACTATCCACTTGCTTTCAGCACGTTAAAATGTATTGTGGGGTCAAAATAATTATTTTCTAACTTTTCAGTGCATATAAAAGTGTGTGTATTGAAAAACTTGTTTAAGACCAATTTTTTTGTAAATGTCCTTGCTGTTGGGAAACACTCTTCCTTGTAAAGGGGGCTTTACGTGAAGAAGTATATTTTCATAAGATATCGGCAAAAGAACACCCAGTTTGTGGCATTTTTGACATAAATGTTTTAGTTTAATGCTACAACATTGAGCTATGGTATATTTGAAGTCATAGCCATACCGATATTTCAGCGATTCCGCAACTTCCTCGCCCTCGTAAATAAACGAAGTGGATGCTGAGCTTTATTAAATGCACATGTCGTTTGGATAATTATGCCATAATACATAATTAAATTGCAGTCGCTTAACTTTTTAGAATTCTTCTCACAGTAATAAAGGAGGAGAATGTGATACATTTGGCATTTATTATAGCTTTAGAGGCACTACTACAGTCGACCCTTCTGCATCGCGACCTTCCCCATCGCGGTTTCGATATATCGCGGGGTCGACATTACAAATTAAAAGGGAATTTTTGGGGAGTTTTGCGAAAGCCGCAGACGACACGCGAAGACCAGCGGACGACACGCAAAAAGGTTAGTAACTCATAAATGCATAAAATGTTTGTACAATACTGTATAATATTAATGTATTTTATATTTTAATACCATATATAAAAGTAAAAATGTGTAAATAGTTTCCGAAAAGAACTGCGGTTCGATAGCGCTGGTTTGGAGGACGCCAGCGTGTTGACGGCAGCCTCGCACGTGATGTATCACGTGATGTCTCGCGTGATGTATCGCGTGATGTCTCGCGTGATGTATCACGTGATGTCTCGCAGTGATCTTTGTATCTCGCCTTTCTCGTATCTTGTGCTGTTTTAGTGCCCTAAACTGTACTAAAAAATGTTTACGTGGTTTTTCCAGATCGCGGGGGGCTTGCGCCCCTAACCCCTGCGATGTGGAGGGTCGACTGTACTTACAGTGAGGGAAAAAAGTATTTGATCCCCTGCTGATTTTGTACGTTTGCCCACTGACAAAGAAATTATCAGTCTATAATTTTAATGGTAGGTTTATTTGAACAGTGAGAGACAGAATAACAACAAAAATCCACAAAAACGCATGTCAAAAATGTTATAAATTGATTTGCATTTTAATGAGGGAAATAAGTATTTGACCCCTTCAATCAGAAAGATTCCTGGCTCCCAGGTGTCTTTTATACAGGTAACGAGCTGAGATTAGGAGCACACTCTTAAAGGGAGTGCTCCTAATCTCAGCGTGTTACCTGTATAAAAGACACCTGTCCACAGAAGCAATCAATCATATTCCAAACTCTCCACCATGACCAAGACCAAAGAGCTCTCCAAGGATGTCAGGGACAAGATTGTAGACATACACAAGGCTGGAATGGGCTACAAGACCATTGCCAAGCAGTTTGGTGAGAAGGTGACAACAGTTGGTGCGATTATTCGCAAATGGAAGAAACACAAAAGAACTGTCAATCTCCCTCGGCCTGGGGCTCCATGCAAGACCTCACCTCGTGGAGTTGCAATGATCATGAGAACGGTGAGGAATCAGCCCAGAACTACACGGGAGGATCTTGTCAATGATCTCAAGGCAGCTGGGACCATAGTCACCAAGAAAACAATTGGTAACACACTATGCCGTGAAGGACTGAAATCCTGCAGCGCCCGCAAGGTCCCCCTGCTCAAGAAAGCACATATACATGCCCGTCTGAAGTTTGCAAATGAACATCTGAATGATTCAGAGGACAACTGGGTGACAGTGTTGTGGTCAGATGAGACCAAAATGGAGCTCTTTGGCATCAACTCAACTCGCCGTGTTTGGAGGAGGAGGAATGCTGCCTATGACCCCAAGAACACCATCCCCACCGTCAAACATGGAGTTGGAAACATGCTTTGGGGGTGTTTTTCTGCTAAGGGGACAGGACAACTTCACCGCATCAAAGGGACGATGGACGGGGCCATGTACCGTCAAATCTTGGGTGAGAACCTCCTTCCCTCAGCCAGGGCATTGAAAATGGGTCGTGGATGAGTATTCCAGCATGACAATGACCCAAAACACACCGCCAAGGCAACAAAGGAGTGGCTCAAGAAGAAGCACATTAAGGTCCTGGAGTGGCCTAGCCAGTCTCCAGACCTTAATCCCATAGAAAATCTGTGGAGGGAGCTGAAGGTTCGAGTTGCCAAACGTCAGCCTCGAAACCGTAATCACTTGGATAAGATCTGCAAAGAGGAGTGGGACAAAATCCCTCCTGAGATGTGTGCAAACCTGGTGGCCAACTACAAGAAACGTCTGACCTCTGTGATTGCCAACAAGGGTTTTGCCACCAAGGACTAAGTCATGTTTTGCAGAGGGGGTCAAATACTTATTTCCCTCATTAAAATGCAAATCAATTTATAACATTTTTGACATGCGTTTTTCTGGATTTTGTTGTTGTTATTCTGTCTCTCACTGTTCAAATAAACCTACCATTAAAATGATAGGCTGATAATTTCTTTGTCAGTGGGCAAACGTACAAAATCAGCAGGGGATCAAATACTTTTTTTCCCTCACTGTACTTTCAAATGTGTTTTCATATTATTTTTCAATGCCTTTTGGGGGATGTGTTTCCAGTATGTCAACACTTGACAATTTTGTTTCATTTCATTTACTTACATTTGGACTTGAGCTCTCACATTGCCCTGCTCCAGACTTGTCTGAAAATTAAACCACAATGTTATTTATTGTGCACAATATAACAGTTAAACATATAAATGTATATTACAGTTCTGTGTGTGTATTCGTATAATGTAACTTAACGATTTTAGACTCAACGTTTTCATTCTAAATGCCTCTAGAGTTGTTTCATGGAAGCTGAAGTCGTTAGCTAGTATTGGTTTTTCATGATGAAATTTCACGATGGAATGTTCCGCTTGTAGGTATACTGTTGAACACTTTGTCATATTCATAGCAATACGATGGAATGTTCCGCTTGTAGGTATACTGTTGAACACTTTGTCATATTCATAGCAATACGATGGAATGTTCCGCTTGTAGGTATACTGTTGAACACGTTGTCATATTCATAGCAATACGATGGAATGTTCCGCTTGTAGGTATACTGTTGAACACTTTGTCATATTCATAGCAATACGATGGAATGTTCCGCTTGTAGGTATACTGTTGAACACTTTGTCATATTCATAGCAATACGATGGAATGTTCCGCTTGTAGGTATACTGTTGAACACTTTGTCATATTCATAGCAATACGAGGGAATGTTCCGCTTATAGGTATACTGTTGAACACTTTGTCATATTCATAGCAATACGATGGAATGTTCCGCTTATAGGTATACTGTTGAACACTTTGTCATATTCATAGCAATTATTCCCTTTCTCAATGTCCCGTGTTTCTGAACCGTATGCCATAGCAGGTAGGTAATATAGGCAATGTTTGTAAACATGCTTGACCTCCATTGATATATTGCTTTTCAGGTTCAAATTTCAATCATTGCATTTCGCTTGCTAAGGCGTACAGATGAAAACCATGGTCACTGACAAAGAATATGAAAACAGCTGGCGTTGATGCTCGTGATAACAATTATACTGAATATCAATATCACAATGGGCTCTACAGTACAGTACTTATTATGGAGGGTGGCTGAAGACTGCAGAAACGGCCAGGGTATAAATGCACCCACTGGGAGCAAGGCCAGTTGTGCTTAGTTTCAAAGTGGTGGCTTTGTATCAGAATTTACCCATTGACTTACACTTACCAGAACAAGCACATGTGTTGCTTAAATCAGAACTCTGATGACTCAAACTAAAGCAGAAGTACATCTCACATATATCACAATCACTCGTTGAATCATAAAATTGACACTAACCAGCACGCGTGTTTTCGTATATTTGTTCTTTCGTCACCTCCTGATTCATCTCCCCGTTGCTCTTCCTGAAATGTATGAATCATGTAAATCCATCTTGTTCTCTGTAAATAACTCGTTCAACATATACATTATAATCGCGGTGCACGATGAATAGAGCCTCAAAGTCGCTGCACTTATCTCTCCCCATAAGTGGAAGATTAAAATCAGCCCCCCCCCCCCACCCTCTCTGTACAAATGATGGACCACCTCGCCGATTAATGCGCCTCCCGCTCATTCGGAGGAGGGAGAAACCATCCGCAGCCTCACACCAGAGAGCCTGGACTGGCCAAAGAACTGTGACATTAACCTTTGACAACTTGCTGCTGCTCCTCTACAATGTCTGCTATACTGCATCAACCCACACTACAGATTAAGAGTACAATTGAGCGGTTCCATTCACTTTAATTCCACGTGATATCAGAGACAGCCTGATGCATTCTCAAGGTTTTATTTTGAACATTGTCATAAAATATAGCCAGATATATCCACCGCGGCACCACTGCCCACGATGTACACACACAGTGTATTTTAATCTCTGTCATTTGAATCGCTGTAATAAAAAGTATTCGACAGTAAAATTGCTTCGATAGTAAAAGTTGACAAATTTATATACAGTTTGGTAAAGATGAATCACTGCATTAATCCAAAAAACTACTATCCCTTTAAATCCATAGTATTGTAGAACGTTACATATCTGGCTCGGTGGGGACTGAGGTAGAGGTGGAAATGTGAATGGGTCACATATGCGGTACTCGATAGATAATGACGGTTAACATCATGCAATGTTACTGCTTTGGCTGTGAGTAGTTAATTGACAGGGGCGGGTATCTGACATTTTGTGCTTGTGTAGTTTTTCTTCCCCATGCAGTCTTGCCAAGGTCAAATTGATTTTGTTTAGGGTCCGATGAGCATGTTTGGCTAGGTACGGTGTGAAGGAAGTTCAGCATACAGTACATACATGCAGAAGTTAAGTGACCTGGGTCACCAAACTCAAGAGTGCAAAACAAATCCATTAAGAAAGCTAAATAAATAAAATTAAAAACAAATCAAGTGACTAGAAATTAGAACAAAAAAAAATACCAGTTTCAAATGAGAAATCGAAAATATCCCACTAACATATATGAAGGTTAAATAACACATTCCATGAAGTGCACATCAAATCAGTCCTATTATATTTAGACGGATAATATTACAATTGATAACTAAGTTACAGAAACATTCACTTTAGATAAAGGGGCATTATTGTCATAGTAATCCTAAGGGCGGTACAAACCTTTGGATTCGGCAGTGCCAGAACGTGATGAATGCGAAGAGTGTGCACAGAAAGAAGGTCGCTGCGCTTGCTCCGATTAATATCGCGGTCGAAGTTGTCGGAGGTGGCTCTACGTCGTGAGATGTGCTGTCTTCTCCATGCTGGTTGATTGCTCGGCAGGTGTAGGCTCCGGTGGGCAGCTCCCCACAAATTCTCAGCGTGCTGCTGTAACGATTCGTTCCAGAACCTGGCTCATCCGCCACCTCGGCGTTTAATGGGCGTGCAATTTCAAGCGGCACATCCCAAGTGATGTTCGGTTTTGGTTTTCCCTCCACCATGCACCAGAAGATGGAGCAATTGACAGGATCGGCGACGTCCAGTTTTGTCAAATTCCAAACTTGAGGGATGGCTGAATCAGAAAATAAATCAACTTAAAAGCATGCATATTATCAACTCGCCTTTTGCCCGTCCAAGGACGGGTGTATTGCAGTAAATCTGAAACTTGCAAGCGAAAATCAGACCGCGACGTGATATATTAATTGCATCAATTCGTGTGCAATTTGTAAGGGCGCGGTGACACAGACTGATTTCATGTTAAGGTTTATAATCCCTTGTTCATCACGACGTCCTTTTTACTTTGATGTCTCAACAGCGTCACGGAGATCACGTGACGTGATGAGGGTTCTGCCTTTGTAGTGAGGGTTGTCAGTTAACGCTGAGGAGGGGGGAGGAGGCGCCTCGCCCCCCCCCATGTGGAGTGACGTCACCCACTAATTATTATTAATGAGGAGCGGGTCCATGTGGAGTGACGTCACCCGCTAATTATTATTAATGGAGGGCGGATCCATGTGGAGGACGTCACCTGTTCATGATTTTTAATGAGGGGGGCTGCTCAACGTGGAGTGACGTCACGCGCGTTACACACTGACAATCTTGGGTAAATATAGTAGTACATTTCTGATACTTAGGCATTTAATGAAAATTTTACTCAAATTCATACAATCACAAAAGCATAAAACCATGCAAATACTAACTTATTTAAAAGGTATGCAAATGTTAGCTTTTGGCTAATGCAGCAAATGAGATTTCACAGTCCAGACAGTAATAACAAGAGAGAGTAAGTCAATGCTGACATCGAATCGTGACTCACAATCATGAAAACAGCCCTCGCACAATGTGTTACAACACCTGCAATTACTCTGTGTCGGCTTGCACGAGAGGACAGCACTCCTCATGTGTTTTGGGGTCGTGCCGTGTCCTGTTCGGTACGATGTCCGACGTTTTGCTCCATAGTCTCCAACACGGAGGAAAAGTCAGACACCATGCCAAGCAAAATGCATTACAACCCCAAAAAACATCGGAGCTACTGCATATACACACATATACACATATACATACATATACACACATATACACATACATACATATACACATATACATACATATACACACATATACACATACATACATATACACATATACATACATATACATACATATAATCACCCGACTGCATCACGCTATAACTATCCACTTTCAACATTGACAACAAAAGATATTTTTTTTAGACTCAACTCACAGTGCACTTCAAGATGGATGGCCCAGTTTGTTTCGTACCCCTTTTCAATTTCAAACCGACAGTAATAATTGTCGCTATCTGAGTATTTCAGTTCCCGGATTTGGATGGAAGCGGTGCTGTGGTTTTCAGGGTCTCCAACAAGTGAGACGCGGCCGTTGAAGTCAAAACGCGTCGTATTTGTAGCTCTGTTAAAGATGTAATACGATGCATTTTTCTCAAACAAAATGTTTTTCTTCCAGATCACTTGAATCTTTGTATCCATGTTCCGTGCGCCTCGTGGGTAGGTGAAGTTACACAGCAGAGTGGCCTCCTTCGTCTTGAGACCAGTGACTGACTTGGGGACGCAAATGGACCACCTGCCATGGTTTTGACAGTCGAACTCAGAGGCAGCCAGACCTTCAAAGATTAATAATAAAAAAAGTATAATATATCTTAATCAAAAAAATACATTTTAAAGAGTATGAAATATATATTATGCAGCTCTACAGTATAATAATTGAAACTACAGTAGCAATGTAATTGATGCACAGTACTATGGTTACTATACTGACGTGGCAAGTAGCAGTTAAAATATATTATGCTCATAACAAGTGCTTACAATCGTATGTATTAGAATTGATCGTGTGATTTATGCAACTGTAAGTATTTACTAATTGTATGACTGTTTCTATTCCAGCAAAAGGCGCGAACACACCTGTAGAAGCGAGACAAACAACGAGAAACAATACAAAACGAGGTCGTCGCCAATAAAACAGCGAACCCGAATTACATCTGGGGCCTGAGCACGGGAAATCATCTGCTTGAAATCCGCCAAGCAGTGATTCACGCAGGCTCCAAGAAAATCGTGGTGCAGGTTTTTTTTCTAAACACAATCGGGGTCCTCGTCACCCACTCCGAATTGGTCGAGTGGCGTTCTCTTTTCATTCGCAGCCTAACAATGTGGAATCTGGCCGTTCGCAGCTCACGCGGCATCGCGTCTTCTTGGCCACAGTTGTGCCCTCACTCCTCTATGCATGCGAAATGTGGATCCCCTCTAATTGAACATCTGCACCGGTTAGAAACATTCAGACTGGCCTGCCAACGATCCATCGTGGGTTTAACCAGGCTGTGTCATGGGTTTAACTAGGCTGGATTGTATGAGGACCTCACAAATCCTTGAAATAATCTGGATATTGTCCCAGTGGTGAGCTTCTCCGGCAGGTAAGGCTGCATTGGCTGCGGCAAGCAGCCCCGCATGCCCAGCCACTGCATGTTCACGAGCTTTTGTTTGGCTGGATAGAGGGACTAAACGGGCACGATATGGGCAAGAGAAGAGATGAGCTGATGGGGTACAGGAGGATATGGAGTTGAGTAGACTTGTCGATGACTGACACGAGCGGTGTTAAGACCGGACTTGAGGCAGAAGGAGGCTCACAAAGGACGCTACTAGGCAGTTAGAGGTCGTCGCCTTAGAGGTACTCCAGCAAGATTGGAGGGCAGAGGACCGACGCCTACAATAACCGAGCGCCGGGCACAGGTGGTGCATCTGCCAGTCATCTCAGTCAACCCATGGCACCTGGGTCTGTCCCATCACCTCCAGCCAGCAAGCCTTCGACAATTAACGTGGTCTAAAAGTGCATCTAGCCTGGCACAAGCACCGTGGTTACGCCATTCGCCACTTAGTGACCACTTAGTGGCGAATGGCGGTTGTTATTTAGTTTGATAGAGCGCTATACGTCTAGTACTGGGAATTACTAAATAAAACGCTCAATTACAACTGCAGTGGTGTAATAACATGGAATGCTGCCTCGGTGTAATGGTTGGCCGGACGCCGCACTCGCATTGCCGAGGTTTCGGGTTCACTGCCTGCGTGGTAGGTTCAAGTTTCGGTTGGCTATGTACGGTGCGAAAGAAGTTCAACATACATCCACCCAGCCGTCTAATTGGGTGTACCACAGTTGATCAGCGCGTCATGTGTGGTGGGGTAAAGTTTGGGCATTACCATCGACTCCGATATGTCTGGCAGTATGGAAGGCTAGGCCAAATAACCTCGATCTAATTGCTTGACGCGAAAAAGCAATTGCATGGCTGTACCTTTAATTGCAATGTAAACATCAATGTAAAAAAAGGCATTCTGTTGTATAATGTTTGTGGCTGAGTTTCAAGGGGTCCGTGTCATAGCAGAGGGCTGCGCCTCTGTACGTTTTATTAAATGTACAGAGGAAAGGTGTTTGCGTTGGATCTTACACATGTTACTTTTGTTGAGAGAAAATGGGACCTAATGTTAGCCGTGGCCAGGTATCGAACTTAGGAACACCCTGCTCTATAGTGCAGTGCGCTAATTACAGCACCACCACTCTACCCCATGGCTACAACAATACATTCACTCTGCTGTTATCCTCGCTGAAGGTTTATTTGAAGCAGATATCGTGACAGTACAAAAGTGCATCGACATATTACCGTGTATACATTGTGTGTCGTTTAATTTTTATAAACTGATGCTTTAATAAGAGTTATATTTCTTATATTCTGCTATTTGTTTATGCATGCTCTTTGTATATACAATCAAAATTACCAAATGCATCAAAATATAACGCAATACAAATTCCAATTTAGTCAACAAGCAAAGTTGGTTTAAGGATGAACATTTGCCCAGCATCAACCAATGTTTGCTCAACGTTGCAAGTTTACAGGGAACGTAGTATTAAAACAATACATGTATTAAAAAGTAAATGTGTTTCCACTTACCGAAAAGGGTCAGCATAAAAGTGATTGTGAACAAAAGTTGAATAATAATCATTTTGTCCATAGGAGAGAGTCTCATAGCTTGCTTCTCATTTGACTGCAGATAACCAAACACCCTCTCTCACCCAACGGTGAATAATATCGTTGCATAATGTGGAACTACCAAGTGGGCTCTGTTCATTTATACTCGATACGTTCAGGAACTCGTTTATCATCCGGGGATTTACTTCCTGTTTTTAAAACTCCTATTACACTTTTTATATTACCAGGTAAGGCCCACTGAGCTATACAGCTCTTTAGATGATAGCTCAGCGCAGTAGCTTATTATAGCACACAAATACTCAACGCATGTTGCTAATTGTGGAAGGAAACCCGGAGAACATGGAGAACTCCAAATATAGAGGCGTCAGGCTTGGGATTGTACCCATGATCTCTTGCATACCACGCGAGATGGTTAACATCTCACCACCATGGCATAAATGAGCTTATCCTTGGTTCTTTCGGTAAAGTCACGTAGAAGCGAAACAAAATAATAAAAATGTGATAATTTTATTGTTTTATATTTTTATTATTTTATTGTTTCCCTTCTACGTGACTTTACTGAAAGAACCAAGAATATGAATCCCTGCAGTCACGAAAGCTTTAAATCCAAAAATAAATTAGCTTGTATAATAACACCTTTCACGATTTCCTTCACGAAATACAATTTGTAATAAGCCATTAACGGTTGAAGTTTTTGAAAAATTAATGAATGAAGATAATAAAGTTTTAGATTTGAAGTTTTCGTGACTGCAAGGATCCATACTCAAAGCTGTTTCTCCTACCATGGAGAAACAACCCCCTGAGACTCCGATCAAAACCATCACGTTACCATACATAGCAGGCGTTACCAATAAGATTTCCAAAATTCTAAACAAACACAAGATCCAGGTCCGATTCAGTACAGTACACAAAATCCGTGATCTGATCCCATCCGTAAAGGATGTCATTCCTGACTTACAGTAAGTACCCTGGTGTCTACAAACTGAGTTGCATTTGTGGTGATTGTTATATTTGGGAAACGAAATGACATGTATCTGACCGCATTCGCGAGCACAAATCAGATTTCAAACACGGTAGGACGAACTCTTCTGCCGTGGCTGATCATTGCTACAACGCTGTGGGTTCTCATTATAAAGTTTTATCCCGTACCAAAGTACTCTGCAAGCCGTCTGGATACCAACAAAGATTTGTCCATGAAGCCATCCAGATATACAAACATAGACATAACTTCAACCTAGAGGATGGTTTCAAATGTAGCAATCATTGGAAGGATGTTATTAACCAAGTTAAACTTTAGCTACCTTATAGTTTATATTAATATCTCTGGTCTTTTACTCCCAGCCTTACACACTACCACTCTCCCCCCCCCCCCATCCGTGGTACATGAGTACCATGCCCAGAAGCTTCTCTAATCCCCGTCCCCCAACACTCATCCACCCCCCCTGCATCTGTCCTCCCTGGGTCCTCCCCCTTTTCTTACCCTATATAATCTCTTGTCACAAACAGCTCTCTCTCTACTCACCACAGTAATGTTGCTGTGACTGTTGCCACCTGATAACACAAGGTTCTTGTGTTGCCTCCGAAACGTCGTGATTTGTTTTTGTAGTTTTCATTTTATTTTTTACCTACGTGACTTTACCGAAAGAAGCAAAGAGTATAATAAAGTTTGTTTTAAAACTAGAAATATTTGTTTTTATCAACAATGCAACAACGTAAGGGGCCATCCATTTAGTAGGCCCGAAAAAATCTCTCAAAACTTGACCCCTCCGCCCCTCCCTGTAGGCACGCGGACTTTTTACAACCCCCCCCCCCCCCCGAATTCTATAGAACGGCCAATATTTAATCCACGCAGAAACGATCAAGGATTAATAATATTCACGTGTTTAAGCAAACAGATAGTCCATTGCCGGACGATCTAACTCATTTTAAGGCCAAAGTAGATACGTTATTTTCGAGGCTTCACCACCGCCCACGTTTCCCATGCGTACATGGTCAGTAGACCCCCCCCCCCCTATACGCAAGCGAACGCATTTGGGTTAACCCCCCTCCATGCGTACGTACTCAATGGATGGCCTCTAATATATTTAAAGTCATTAGATGAGGTTTAATATGTCTGGGAAATATGTCTACTCTCCCACCCTGGCCAGAAATCGTGTAAGAGGTGGGAGTAATGGTGGTGTACCCATTATGCTACTCGTACAACATATCAATATGAAATGCAGTGGCTGTTGTTTTGTCGGGATTTGGCTTGAGGCTCCATTTGTGGAAATATTTTCCAATGGTGTTTAGATCTTGGTTCAGAGTGGATTCGATGCCGTTGAAAGTGTCTGCTTGCGTTGCCAGGGAAAAGTCATCCGCATAAAGACATTTTTGCAACTTGCGTGCATCTCGTATAGACATTGAAGTGCATTTGCGCCAGTACTGAACCTTTTGGCAATTCATTGTTGAAGAATCTGGGGGAGCTGGCTTTGTCACCCACATAGACAGGCGGTCGTCTTATTGCTCAGCATTGTCCATACGAGGCCTATTTGGTTTCCAGGCGAAGAATGGTCCTTCAAGCCCTACATCCAAATTGTGTTGTAGGCCCATGACAAGTCCGCAAAGGCTGTGCCGGTCTTGGATTTCTTCTGGAATATGACCTGAATGTGCTTTGCAAGGAGCCAAAACTTGGTCACAGCAACTGCGTCCAGGATGATGCGTCCCAGGTGTTTATAGGTCATGCACAGGAGTGATATCGCCCTATAACCTTTCCCGATCGTCGGTTGGCTTGACCGGTTTGGGTATTGCAATGGCCATCGCGTCCCGCCATGCTTGTTGGATGCATCCGGTTTTCATAGTTTTGGTATACAGGTTTGCCAGCCATTGGAGTCCCCTAGGGCCTAAATATTTGTAAAAATGTTCCCAATCGTCGCCCCTATGAGAGTAGGAGGACAGTGAGCCCACTTCCATTTTGCCGGTCTCTGTCCCAAGGACACCTGGCCTCGGGGTTGTTGTTGCTCGCAAGTTGCTTGCGCTGTCCCTCCCCGATGGGCACACTCTGTTGTGGACTCTTGTGCGTAGTCAAAAAAAACCACAACACAGTATGTCAGTTGAAACACAGCTAACAAGCGTATAGGGTATTACAATAATCAATTCGACATACCGAAAGCTTGTGAGGGGCAGAGGGATCGATATAGGTTCACACATTTTAAGAATGTAGGTCATTGTCTGAATAAGTCTCTTCATATAGTTATGGCAAACTTAAAATGTATTTAAATAAATTTCCTTGGCAAATATGTATAGATTGATCAATCTTTATCTACAAATTTGATGACTTACCATCGGCCCAGTCTTTAATTGTAAATCAGGACTATTGGTATTCGTATCAGGAAGGGGAAGATGTTTTCGTGGCAGGCGCTGTACTGTACAAACTTTATTTATTTAACCTTTCATTATGCTTCACATTATTAGAGAAATAGGAAGTAAAACATGCTCGGGTAAATTTGTTCGGGAAACGTGATGGGTATAAAGGAACTTCATCTTTGATGATTCCATAGCGAGCACCCGCGTTGTTTGTCAGCCCTACATCACTTGAGCCACAGATGGTATCGGTGTCTCCAGTCGTGACTGATATCTCGGCTTGTCAGCTGGCATTTAAAGATTCATCTCATCGCACTCCCCCTGACTGAATGGTGACAATCCAACTGCTTGGTGGAGGTTACTTTGATTTTGACCATCTTTGGTGATTTTAAAATAAACATTTACTCGTGAAATGTCTTCAATGAATATGTAGAGGAGTAGAATGGGGAAGTACTATGTTGCTGTTCAACATTTGCATGTACATTGTATCATACATGTTTTATATACAGTCTATACATGTACACAGAAAAAGCTTGCCCAACGCAGCTTTACCTAACGCGTGTTTCGGCTCTTCGCGGTTTAGCTAACGAGGTCTGTTTTCCGAAACACGGGGGTGGCGTTTCGGCTCTACGCGGTGAAGATTTTTTTTTAAATCTCTGAATCGACAAGTGGTGCCGTGAGAGTGCTGCTGCACCCGTTGCAAGGAGTGAATGAATCGACTGTGAGAGCGACTGATTTACCACGAATGTTTTTTTTTGTGTGTACGTTTCTAGCGCGCTTTTGTGTTATTATGTAACACACACTCAGCGCACACAACGGCACATCGCCAATGTTCACATTGCCGCATGCATCTTGCCGTCAAGTTAAGGACGCCCAGATGGCGAACCATTAACGTTCAAGCGACAATGTCAGGGGCGAGCGTTGGGCGTCAGGGCGGGAAGAGGAAAGGCGACGTGGGGTTTGTGTTGAGGTGACATTAACAACTCAAGTGAGTTTTACTTGCACGAGCAATAGAGTGCGACTCAGCATCCCTTAGTGCACTCACAAGGGTGGACATCTTGTCGAGTCAGTTCTACAAAGCGGGAGGGGGTGATCATTTGGGATCCAGGAACGCAACACAATATTTCCCATGAGGCCTATTACACTGGTCTACAGCCAAAATGCTTCCGAAATAAATGTAGTCCAACTTTACTAATTCTGGGTCACTGAGAATTAAAATTATGCTTAAAATTGTTGATTGGCTCTAGTGTTCACGATTTGCTACTGGGTCAGTATATACGACCCTTGACTTGGGAATGGCGGAGAATAAGTGAATTATAAAGGGAAGGGATCTCAATTTAAACCAGAAATTACTAAAATACATCTTTTACTGGATCCATTAATAAATCTACGACTGGGTTTGGACATTAGCTTTTTGAACAAAACAATGATGCAATCTGAACCTGGTATTGCATCATACATGATATGAATTGTATCATGTTATTCCTAGAAGTCATGGATGATGCAATCATAACTCGGCTTACATCCCTCTGCTGAACAAATTGCCCTATATCAGCTCTAGAAATCATACAATATCATGCTCTCCTATTTGTCAGTATTTGATTTTGCAAAGGGACACATTTATGTTTAGCCAAAGTGAGCAGAGATGCCTCGTACTTGTGTGAACAAAGCAGATCACTTCTGCTATGTTTGTGGTGAAGTGACTTTTGCATCACACAAGTGCAGTATAACCACTGTGGTTAAGAAAGCCTATCACCTTTATTTTTGGCTGCAAAATTGGAAATCAGGACAAGATGTG